CATACTCTTACCATATGATCTAGCAATCCCACCCCTTGGTATTTACCCAAATGAGCTCAAAACTTGTATCCACACAAAAACCTGCACGTGAATGTTTATGTGTTTTATCTACAATTGCCAAAACTTGGAGAAAAAAATACAAGATATTATTCAGTAGGTGCATAGATAAATAAGTGGTGGTCTTTCTAGATAATTAAATATTACTTGGTAGTAAAAACACATGAGTTCTCAAACGCTGAAAAGATATGAAGGGCCGATAGATGCATATTACTAAGTGAAAGAAACCAATCTGAAAAGGCTACATACTGTATAATTCCAGATATATTGACTTTGTGGAAAAGGCAAAACTATAGCTAGAAGAAAGGATTCAGTGGTTGCAAGCACTGGGGAACGGAGCAGTGAATAAATGAAGCACTGAGGACTTTTAGGGCAGTGAAACAACTCCGTATGATACTATAATAGTGAATGCGTGTTATTATACATTTGCCTAAACCACAAAATGTACAACACCAAGAATAGACCCTGATGTAAGATGGACTTTGGTGATAATGATGTGTCAGTGTAGGTTCATCGATTGTAACCAACGTTCCCCTTTGATACAGAATTTTGATATCAGGAGAAGCTATGCGCATGTAGGGACAGAAGTACATGCAATATATATATATCTTTGCTCAATTTTGTTGAGAACCTAAAACCGTTTCTGCTACTAAAAAAAAAGTTTGTTTTGGAAAGTCTCAGCCAAAAAAGAAAACTACAGAATGATCAAGTAGGGTTGATTCCAAGAACACAAGGATGGGTCAATATCAGAAAAATGTAACCATGTAATTTATCACATTAGAACTGAAAGAGAAAGAAAAAATGATATGTTTTTACCAGATGTAAAAAAATAAAAATTTAGTTTAAAAAAGCTTTAATAAATAAATGTATTTCATAAAAATAAAAACTTTGGGGGCCGGGTGCGGTGGCTCAAGTCTGTAATCCCAGCACTTTGGGAGGCCGAGGTGGGTGGATCACGAGGTCAAGAGATCGAGACCATCCTGGTCAACACGGCGAAACCCCGACTCTACTAAAAATACAAAAAATTAGCTGGGCATGGTGGCGCATGCCTGTAATCCCAGCTACTCAGGAGGCTGAGGCAGGAGAATTGCCTGAACCCAGGAGGCGG